TAGTGGTTTTGTCCAATAAGAGGGGAGTCATTGTTCAAGGCAATTTGTGCCATCGATTGACATCTCCTGAGAAAAGGATAGGTATCGATATGGTGAACTGAATTCAACAATGTTTTTCACTTAAACCAATTATTGAAAATATTCTGTAAAAAAGCACGGCCCTTGATGTAATTTTGAACGATTGACAACAATTTAATGCGAAAATTATTTATATATATTTTATATAATTGTGTTTTTTGTTCAGCAATTCTTGAGAATGAAATAAAATGTCTTTCCGAACCTTGTTGCAACAAAATAGCATATCTCTTATTTTTCGACCTCTCAATATCATACTTATAAAAAGGAAATTTTGGTTGACTTAACAAAAAGTATTCAAAAATCAAAATACCCCCCCCCCCCCCAAAAAAAAAATAATAAAAATAGATAAAAAATAAAATAAACCTTTTATTCCATTAATAAGATGCTAAAATCAACCAAAAAATCAAAGTTTCTGAGACCTAAACATGTTGTGTTTATGTCGTTTTGTTCCAATGAGGTTCGGAAATATGTTACATTTCATTCCGAACATGTGATACCAAGAACAAAAGAAGCGTCCGATATTTAAGAGAAACGTGTGTTCACCATAAAAAAAGTTCACAATATGGATACAAATCCTTTGGAGTAAAAGCCATATAACGCTTAGCCTTTTTAATTCTCAAGTTTGAAGTTGAATACTTGAATATGTTTTGAATCCCTCCACTTTCAGGATTGTGTACTGACCTGGATGACATCATCAAAAATTGTGTAGGATTTCATCCACTGTTTTTCTTTGAGAGGTCAAAACCTCATTCTGAATATAGATCACATGTCTAATGAATGGGGAATCCAAACGAAATTTGATGAAGAAAAATATTTTTCTTCTGTTGATATTGTAGGCGAGTCTTACACAATGCAGATCGGATTAGTTAAACCTTTGTAACTGGACACCATAGTGCTTTGGAAGTTGGTATTTCAGCTTAGTAAGTAATATTAATTAGCAAGTTACATCTTCTTTATGGCTTTAAAAAGCCAAGTCAAACAAATACAAAGGTAATTTGTTAAATGCCAAAGTTAAGAAATTTCCATTAGCCATGTATAATTTCATCTTTCTAAAGGCGAACATCGTGTCTTTAGGATCCAAAGGTGAGGCTGATTTTGTTACTCTTGAATTATTAGCTTATAAGACATGCCACTTAACAAATATCACTTTTTCTTGGTAAGTGACTTTAACGATTTCACAGCTGGGCCTTTCCCGTGGTTCGTTCAACATTATTGCTGTGTTATGAATAAAATTTATGTGTCAAGCCCAGCTTAGGATTAACAATCATACTCATATTCTTGCTGAAAATGTCCAGGTACCGACTTTGAAGACGTGGTACTTGAGTCGTTCTATGATCTTTCGATATAATTATTCTTTAATAACAATTTTCCATTTTGTATAAAGGTCGACTGGCAGTTTCCCTCCAATTATTGAGACCATTTTATGTGATTTAGTAAATAATCATCTAGAAAATAAGATGACGCTATTAGTATTTGTTAATATATTGGCATATAGACTAATAGTATAGTTTCCATATAGCTTTTGAAATCTCGCTAAACCTCGTTTTTCGTGAGATTTTAAGAGATGTGCATATATAACCTCTAATGACTTCCATTACCTTCTTTTAAATATTTGAATTCAGTGAAATGTTTTCTCCTTAAATAGCTTTGATTAACACATTTTCTATGACAATTTAAAAAAACTTGGGCCAAATCTCCATAGATGCAATGCTAAAATTCTTTAAAACCTTGGATTATTTGTATGTCAACCAACATTTGCATGTTTAATCACAGCATGTACATAAATAGGGTCTTCAAGTAGTATATTATTCAAGTTTTATACAGATTCAACTAGCACTCTTTGATAAATCATGAAATTAAGCCACTTTTCCAAGATTTTAGCATGTAAGTGAATGGAACTCTGGCCCAAATTAAAAGCTGAATAAAAGATGGCAGCACTAGATTTCATTGCCTTTTCTGCTATTTCGAAACTATCCTACTAAACCTGATATTTTCGAAATAATGCGGTATCATGAAACTTTAATTTAGTCTTTTATACTATAAATACTAACTATGTTGTAAATGGGATTCCAACAGAGATGAATGTAAAGAATAAATTTTCAAACAGCTGCTTTTGTCTTTCAAGTTTTTCTAGTAAATTAAACTCTATGGTATTCCAACCAACTGGTATTTAATCGGAAAATATTAAACAATGCGCATATATTTTCCCTTAGTTACTCGTTAATATGACGAAACATGTCATCTAGACATGTGTTCATCAAAAGGCAGTCATGCAGGACTGAAATGGATAGCGACGAATTGAGATTAAGAATAGGTAAATCTCACAATTTATTTTAACATTAACCTTATTTTTCCAACAGTTCTGACTTTATAATAATTATCTTTTCACCTTCAATGTTATGTAGGAAAATTTAAACGAGGAATGGGACATCCCCTTTCCAATCCAAGAATATATATAATATTGGGACACTTTTGCATTTTGAATTTGCAACACCATTCCATATCTGATCAGATATCTAATTTTTAGGAAATAAATTAAGATTACATAAGGAAAACATTGTTATGGTTTTTGAAAATATTGATTCTGGCATGTTTGTACGGCTAAGTGGTGATGAATGAAATCGTAGCTTCTCTCACCAATCATGAACTATAAATTGGATGAGATTGGCTTAATATGATTGATAAATTGGTTTCTTAGGGCTTGAGGATACCGTTTTCAATACTGATTTCGATACATAATAAAACAACTCGAATTACCCAAATGCGAGTAGGTAGTTACCAGTTTCACCACCAGGTGGCTGATTCGGGTCAGTTAACATGGCAGGTATATAAGAAAGTTCCCTTAAACTTGAATATTATCAATTTAAGTGGCTCAATTTTCATATAACCCTTATGTGTCTAAAACTTATACTAATGAAAATATGTCCAGTAAAGAAAAACATTATCTGTCCACTAAAAGGAAAGATATTTCATTTTTTGTGATTTTATAGCATGGGGTCTATGGGGAATCTCCCCGAGCTAGAAGTCACATTTTCAAAGAAAAGTAATTTTTCAAAATGAATAAACACTTTTTAAAACCACATTTCTAGATGTAATTTTACATGTAGATTTCAAATATGATATTACTTTGACTGAATTTTGAATTTTTAATGACGTAAATCAAGATTATTTCTACTCGCATCTGGGTTATTGTGATCATTCTGATTAGCAGTATGTACATAATTCTATTATTTGTCCACATTGATGTAGCTTTATGTGAGAGGCCTGGGGTTCAATAGATTCGTATTTTTTGCTTTTTGTTATTTTCGTTTTCAGAACTCAGTTGCCAGAATATTCCGGGCGACCAGAATATTCCTCATTATGATTTTAGTCCTGTTAGTTGTACTTTCAAAAACACGTTAGTCCATTTGTCATCCCTATACATACTATAGTGAACCTATGAATTGTTAAAAACACGATGTTTTATGGTTAATTTATAATAACAAGGGTTTTCTGAAGTGATTTAACTGGTTGGACAAAAAGTTAGTTTGGGGAAAAAAGTATATCGGCTAATAAGGGAGGGGTGTATTGGTTTAACATGGCGTTGACTATTGACTTAGCGTCGAGATACCACCATGAACCTGCAGCTGGTATGTTAACATGGTGATAGATACAAAAAATTTCCCCAACGTTAATTTTTTGGCAACCCAGCTAAATCACTCCGATAAACCCTAATGATAGTATTTTCACAGAAAAACATCATGTTTTTAAATATTCATACGTTAAGAAAATGACAAATGGACTACGTTGGGGATCATCAGAAGCAATATTGGCATTGTGGTCGATGTGTTTGTTATATTTAATTACGCAAGCACTAGTGCCAAAAGTGGAAAAGAAACACATTTTAACACAACCATTGACAAGGAAAAACCCAAACATCCTGAATCATTATCTTACGTCCAAAGTGAGACTAAATATTGAAAAGTAAGAGTAATTTTGGAATGAATGGTCAACTAAGTATCCGTATGTGACATTTGTACACATTCATTTGGACCTGGGTCAGTGGTTTATGTTCTACAACCAGATATGCCCAAGCATATTTGTTTCCCGGTGTAAAAGAAATTATGGTCCCCTGGGGATTATGGTCCCCTTTCTTAAAGGCCCTTACTGGTCCTGATTGTGGATACGATAATAAGGGAAAGAGTTGTATTTAGGTCACCATATAAATCAATGGAAAGTAGGACCATAATTTGATAGGACCCCCTACTCTTTTACACCTGGTTTGTTTCCATCATTTCTTGCTTATTCGGCGTCTTGACCTTCTATTTTGTATTGTACATGACCGAAGTAATTATGTTCGTCGTTCTGATTATATGTTGTTTGCTAATACATTTATTCTAAACATTAAACGGATTATTAGTATGATATGCAGTTTGTTATCGTGTAGGATAATAGTAAATTAAACAGTTAGGCTAATTTCAAAGATATAAAGACAAATTAGGAGATGGTAAGCCTGTATTAAAGCGTTTGTTCTAGCGTTATTACTGGGAGGTAACATTCTTTAGTATAAATAAGTAAAACTAAATTGCACAATGTCATTGTATAGCACGTACTTCTATAATATATCTCATCAGGTAAAAGTTGATGAGGTAATGATGTGTTCTCTTATACCAAACATTAGCTAATTTAATATGATGTGCTAATGTACCAAAAATGAAATTTCTCTTCATCAAATATCTTTTTTATTAATTAAATGGGAGACACGTTTTGTGAATTTAGACATTGGGCAAAATTACTATCGAGCACATATATCCGAGTCTATGTTATCAATCAGCTCGATGTCAATTTGTGGAAATCATTAATCAGAAAAAGTTGTACAGATAAATCAAATATATCTCAAGTTTTTGATTTGAATAATTATTTAAAATTTAAGGTTATCTTACCCCCTTTCCAATATGTGTATCTGAATATCGCAATGCGTGTTTCTGTTGTGTGTCGTGTCCGCAACTTGCACGTAAGTGTTGGTTCAACCCCAAACAGCGCTCTGTATATAATTTACATTGAAATGAAACTTCTAACTTTGTATTCCTTTGTTTTGTACTGTACTGCTATTTACTTCGATTTTATTCAATTAAATAAAATGTTATGTTAAGTAATTCAGTGACCCTCAGCAGTCCCAACTATCACAAAATCTTAGCGGCACTTTTAGCCAAGAATTGAATTGATATAAGGTTTGATTTCTAGATCCCACAAAAGCTATATACTAGACTCTCCGCTGCTACTTATTGTAGCTCTGAACCTTTTTCGCAGCAAACTGTGTCTATCTCGAGAGCAGAGTTGATTTTGATCAGTTAATTACTTAATATAAGGAAAGATCATCTAAATGCAATTATACCTCCCTGATGTGGATATCACAAAACAATATCCCACCAGAATTATTGGTCAATTTCCTCCAATCAGTGCCTGACGTTTACAGTAAGGTACCTGCCATTATTATGGCCGTGTTTGTTTTATATTTTAGGATATTGCATCCTTTCCAATTACTATTTGATGATGCATGAAATGTCTAACAGTATTCATACGTCGTTTGAACGTAACCGATATGGGAGTAATAGACCGATATAAAAAGATCACAAAATTTACAACTGACGTATGTTTACCAAAAGTTCTTCGACATCCGCAAAATATAAGAGTATTTAAAACAAGATTGGTGAAATATTAATAATCAAAATGCAAAACTATTAATTCTCCTTTATTTTTAAATGTATATTATATGTATGTAAGATGAAAAGCTAAAGTTCCTGAAGAAAAGTATGAACTTGACAAGAATTTATATGAGCCGAAAATATTCTAAAAGTGCAGACATTTTCTGTTAAAGTTGCCAGATATCCAGTTCTGCCTCTATAAATTTTTTTCAACAATAATTTTTTTTAATTTGTAAGTCATATATTGTGATTGGACTGCAATCTTAGTGAAATTAAGATACATTAATTTTAATTATAGTTCTATGTGGCTATTACAGATTATTTTATAGCAGGTTATTAGCCCACGTAATACTGGACACTGACTGTTTGAAAATAAGAAGAACTTAACTCGTGTGGTATTCTTGTTAAACACATTTTGTCACGATACGAACGTTAGTGTTGGCCTATAAGGGTGTAAGCAATATATCAGAAGGGATGGACTGAATGATCTTTCAGGAAGCAATAAACGTAGAAGAATGCTAAACATCAACTGTGTGTCTTATTTCATCAAAGCATTACATAAATCACATTATTTTCACTTAACCACAATGGACATAACACGCGTTGGGGCCTGGGATTAGTAAAGCTGGCCTTTATACCATTGCATTCATTAATATGATGTAATCCAAATACATATCGCTTCATAATGATGAACAACCAAATACAACATAGTACAAAACTATATAAAATTCATGAACCACATTAAATCGATGTAAAATGTCAATTAATTCTTCATTGCTTGATCAATATTAACAAGTTCACGAATTCCATAAAGTTGAAGTCAGATTGGTGTAGTACATCAAGTCCGGTCTCAATTGTTATAACAGAGCTACATTTCCCACAGAACAACAACCTCCGCCTTGAGTAGGGTGCTATAAAAACAATGTAATTGATTATCAGTAGGTACTAATTAAAGCTTAGTGATTGGGCACATCTTGTATACATCACATAAGTCATAAAATCTACCCGGCAGGTACTTGATGATGGTAAGCCTCCTCTAAGTCAATCAAATGACGTTGTACTTATTTGTTGACCAATTAGTCCAGATATAATCATCCCACCGGTCACAAGCCTGCAAATGTCATTAACATGTTGGAGAAAGGAGCAGTTTTGTTAACGTTAAGAGTTCAGGTTTCTATTCCCCTAGTATTAGCATCTAAGGACAAGCATGCCAATTCTTTTTGGCAATTTGATTCTGTTAGTGTTAAGGAATAAGACCAATCACAGTGGCTTGTTAAGTGGCTACAACTAATATTCGGATGTCATTAATTAATATATATATGTTTCTCAAAGGGCTAGCTTCGATTGCGTTAACTAAAGGCATGACTATCAATGAAGACATCTTCAGACATGGTATTAACTCTATCCTTAATTGAAAGGGTGTAATGGGCTTTATAATTTGAAAACAAATTTAAGCCTTTGCGAATCACATCTAGGAGCATTTGCGTGCCGTAACTTCATCAGTTATAGAGAAGCAAGACATGAGACTCAAGCTTTTTATTTCTACTTGGTAATCAATAAAGGTTAACGCAAATTGCCTCCAAGTGTGTTTTTAAAAGAAAATGCCAATTTGTAACTTGGTTCATTAAAATGGTACTTGGGGCATAGAGTCCAATGTTGCTCTTATCTATTATGAGGTACATAAAATGATTGTTGCTTTGAGCATTTCCGGAGATGCTACATGTTAACAAGCTATGTCCTTTGACATTTCCTTTGCTATTATATCGCCAAAAAGGAGTAGCAGTAAAATGTTAAAGGCGCAGTTTCTCTTAGGTTTCTAGCCAAGACCCGGTGGAATTGACACCGTAAATCCAGGAGTCTATATCTGACAGTTGGCAAGTACATGACCTGATGATGGTTGAACCAATGCAAAAATATGAAGGGGTACTCTAATTATGCTCCTATCAGACACGGCCTCTTTAATGCTACTACTTGGAATATTATGGTAAAACGTTGAAAGAGGAACAGTCAAACGATTTGTAACGTAACCATGACAAATTGCTAATAACCTAATTGATGTACTTAATATGCTGTTATGATATCTGAGTCAGCTTAGATAAGTCAAAAGTATTTGAACTCTGGTTTCTTGATTATGAAATACAGTATCTTGATTAATGATTGTCGATTAGGAATCAAATGGCTTATATCAAATGTTTCCTTTGTGAAGTAGTTTATATAAAATAATATCATGGATGGCGGGGTCTTAATTTCCGTAGAATAAAAGATTTCATACTTGACTTCAGATTACCTTTAACGAGAATTGTGTCATTCTGGACAAAAATATATACTATGGATATATCAATGTTTCAGAAAATTATCGGACAACAAAGTAATTTTGAGCCATTAAACTGTTAATTCATATCCTAGAAAATAAACAATAGACAAATACTTTTCAAAAGTATAAAAGGAGGGGGAGTTGTTTGTCGAATGAATCGGGGGAGGTTTTTCCATGCATTCGCTTATGTTTTTTTGTCGCTTATGTTTTTCATCAAAAAACATCAATACACTTTAAAACATTTTATTGACCATAAGATTGCACCATATAATCCCAAAAAAATATTTCTCATTTTAAAGGATTATCTATTGAGTAACACCTAGGAATTTTCATTTTTCAAACTTCAGAGGACTGGGAATCATTGATAATCAACGCTTTTGAAAATTACAAAACCTTTTACAAATAGGTTTCACATGTATGCCAATAATTTGTCAAATTGTGTTAACTGTACACATTCTTTTATCCCTAGAATTTTCTCTTTGAGGAATTTCCCGTAGAAATCTAATAGTACAGTTCCAGGCAGAATTTGAGAAAACGGGAAAGAGATCTTTAATACACACCTTATTAGGTTGTTTTGATTTATATAGCATAACCAATAAAAACCAACTCGACTTCGTCTCGTTCCAATACAGAATTTCTCGAGCAGAATATATCCTGTATTGGACTTCAAATCATTCAAAAACTTTGTCGTCGGTTTTTAGATTAAACCCTGCTTTGTTACTGTAAAAGCATATCAAATCATTTTCATATCATTTTGAAGTATTTCTAATACGCATTTCCAAAATTATTTTCTAGATACATGGAATCCGATGTACCACTACACAACATTATATAAAGATACGAGTGGTGCCTTAAAATACACAATGATTTGCAAAGTACCAGACCTCTGCTTGCAAGCCCCTTGCCTATTATTTGTTCTAATACCCGGGACTCGTAGTTTATCCATTACATAAATGGGTCTGTCTTTAATGAGCTGGTAAACTTATCAGAAAACCACTTTGGATAGACGTACCGTACAATTTGGTATCAAAAACTACTCTTTTCACTTCACTGACATTTTGCAGTTGTGTAGAAATATTTGTTCTGAGCATTGAATACTCGTAATATGTCATTCAACATTCATTGCGTTATCTACCTAATCAGATGTCACCCTCTTTGACAAAAACGTTCAGCCGACATTGTCATGGTAAAAGCGCAACATTATACCACATCAACTTGAGACTCGCCCCCCACCTCCACCTTTCACTTTATCACAGCTGCAACGTTTTATAATTATTGTTTGAACATTTTAAAATTTGAATTTCTGTACACAGTTCTCAAGACAATACGTTAAAAGTTAAAAATGAGGCGCCATGGACATCTGCATGATAATTGATTTGTTGGATCACCCTCTATAATGCCCAGTAGGTTGGGCGACTGCTTATCCCTTAATCTACTAATGGCGTGGTGGACGTATTAACGAATTGACAATGGACGAATAGTTGTAACTGATAACAGAAAATAATAGAAACTAATCCCCTCAACAAATAGATCAGTTGCACTCTGTCAGTTTACATGTATCATCGGCTACCTCCCGTTTATTTAATGAACCATGTGACTCCCACTGCCATTCTTTATAGGGTTTAAGGGTATACAACAGCATTAAAACTCCAGCAAGTGTGACATTTCGTAATTATATAAATCGAAGGAACTCAAGCCATGACTAGATTATCTTTTATTTTCAATAATGGAAAAATCGTCTCGTAACTTTCACCTCATAGCTATTTACTGGATATAAATGTAATAAAGCGATGTTTAAGTCTATTAAAACCCCTTTTATATTCAGATTGAATCTGAGGGGAATACCTATGTGTCTTGTCTTGCCTCTGCTCGTGAATCAATCACTCTTGACATGACTGTCAGAATGGGAGCCATGCTATTGTGTATTGCAGGAATTTCCCTAAATGCACAATCTTGTTTCTTGAGACAAAGGGGAAGAGACACATTAACCTTGTTGGAATCTATTAAAGTAGAATAGCAAGTAAACATTTAGTTGGTAATCACTAGATTGTCTTCTGGAAGGACTCATTAGTGATACCAATAAATTTTCATTTTTATATTTTGTTGTTTGACTGACAATCGATCGTTATGGCTATAATTGTACACTTGGTTTCCCAAAGAGACTACCTAACGATTGGCCACACATAAGTTATATGCATTGGATTTGTATTTTTAACCCCAAAAATTGATAAGCTGATTTATATTTGGTATGAGTAGAATTTCACATCAACTTCAGTTATA